GAGAGGTGATGCCCTCTCTCAGGCGGGAGGTGTCATCAGGAGCTATCCGCTTCTCAGCCAGCCCCTGTGGGTCTGGCCGCTGGGAGGCGGCGCCTGGAGGGTCTAGGTCTCTCCCGGGAGGTGGTGTGTACCATCCAGGGTTCACCCGCCTCTACTCAGTCTTCTTACTCCTCCAAATGGTCGGCGTTCCAATGCTGGTGTTTGGACCAGGGCTTGTACCCGGTGGCCTGTCCACTGCCGGGGGTGTTTTTGTTCCTCCAGCTGCTCATGGACCGAGGTCTGCCATCCAGTATGGTGTTTCCTCCTCTGTGGCGTGGAATGTCGGTGGACGATATCTGCTCGGCGGCCTCCTGGTCTTCCCATGTGCTCATTCATTTCATGCTTCTTGTTGACTCACTCAGTACTGAGCGTTCTGTCTGAGTGATTGTCCTCTGTGAGTGCGTCCCTTGGGGGGACGCTGAAATGCTAGGGGGGTTCGGCCCCCCAATTTTTATTTTAAATAAAGCACTTAAATGCTCATTTCTAATGACATTTGACAGATTGTACTTCTGTGTGGCTAAAATAGGGTATTTGTAGTGACAGAAGATGGAGAATAGTCTGGAGAGGGGAGATTATGAAAACTTGGAGAGGGAGAGGGTCAGAGAGAGGGAGTATAATATAACTAGAACAAAACCGACTACCATAAAAACCATGGAACAGCTGCTAGTTAATGTAGCTAGCCACAGTACAATTGTACTGTATTTAGTTATCCTAACGTTACACTTCTGAGCTGTCTGTGATATTTCCTGTGTCTCACTTGGCCCTGACTCTCCCTGCAACAAATATTTGTGAACACAGAGCTGTCTTCAATGCAAACTCTTATGACATGCCGTTGGACTAACAAAGTCTTTTTACCATGTGAGTTTTAGAATATTATGTCTACTAGCTATCCATACAACTTACAAGCTCGTCCTCCTCAGTTTTTTCTACTCCTGCTCCTGTGACCTCTGCCCTCTTAAAATACTGCAGGATGCTCGTCTCTGTGTTAACATTTTGAATACTTTTCAATTGTTTATGGACACGTAGCAGAGACACATGCACACCTCCTGGCACATGTTTTTAAGGTCAAGGATGGTCACAAACAGAGGCAAAAAAGTGGCCCAGGAGGTTGTCCCTGGTCAGCCCGCTCTCCAGACAAAGCATTTGCCGGGGCCTCTGGTCCTTTAGAGACCTTTATTCCTGCATTCTTGAGTATTTTATGCAAGTTGAGTACATAAGTAAATTAACCTTCAAATACATTTTCAAAACTAGAAACATCCCTCTAACAGCCCTAAAGTAATCACTTCAGCTGAGCCCTTGAGTAGATGACTAAATAAGTCATATCATCATCAATCTGACCATAAACTGCTGCTTTGACTCTGTTCTGCTATTGACCTCATCTCTGCTGTCTGTCTCATGTTCACCATGTCAGCGCTAGTACTGGTGCTGCTGGCCAGTGTCGGGTAGCTACTCAAAATCTTTACTCAAGAAAAAGTACAATTACTCCCATAAAAAGGAAGAAAAAAATGACAAACCTACTCATGTATAAATATAATTATATATTTTATCTGCTGTTCATCAGGTTTGAAACTGCTGCAACATGGTTATTTCTAGGGAATGCAATTTGCTGTGCTGGTTGATTATCTTTAGCTATTTCTGTTTAATAATTAAATTATTAAATCTCCATGAATGTGTTGATAAGATCACTTTAAAATATCATGCTTGCTGCCCAGCCGACTATTGTTGCCTGTATCTTATTATGGACATGTAGCCAACCAAACCTCTTGCTTTGTAGCAGCACAGGCAGCCAAAACAATCTGATTATTCCTAAAGCATCTAAATAATCTTACGCATAGAATGATTGTGGCAGCAACACAGGAGCAGCTCGTTGTTGAAGCAGGTAAACCTGCATACAGAGGAAGCTGTGCTTCATGCGTAAAGCCCAACAGGACGGTTTTATCCACCATATTTTCTCTCTCTGTGCATCTCAAAAATGATTGTTTCCTGAATAAATAACAGCTGGTAGCTGCTAAGTGAAAGCCAAGATTAGTTTCACCGGCGACATTCTTTTTATCGACACACATCGCTATTAAACAGTAGGCTATGAAAAAAACAAAACAAAACAGGCAAATATCCATCAAAAGAAAGCGATGCTCTTTTCAACAACAGGATACTGTTAATTTATCAGAATCATTCTAGTGATCATCAGACTTGGATGTTACAGTGTGAAGTTTACGTTTGCTCTGCACTAAATACGCTTTTAATGCGCCGTTGGCTTGTTAAAGAGCGACGCAGGCTGCTTTCCAACACGGCGACCAGCGCCATGGTGAGAGCTCACTGGATTTCAGTTGTTTCTGTAGAACACTAAAGCCTTTAACTGAAAAGGTATTTGCCTGATTTTATAAATGTTTGCATCTGCCCGGCTCTTTCACACAGAGGAGACCTGGCGCTCTTCTGCGTAACAGCGCGCACACAGCCTGGCTGACAGCTCATTCGGTTAACGAAGCCTAATGCAGATTACAGACTGGTGAAGTTATTAAGGTATGAATGGAAAATGTAGCGAAAGTAAAAGTAGATTACTGGCCCACAGAAAATACTGGAGTAAAGAGTAAAAGTAGGCTACAGTTTTAAAAAAGGAACGTGAAAAGGTGCCAGTTACTTTTTTAATTTTATTTTCAAAATGATGTTACTAGTAACACGTCACTACCCCCCCTGCAGCAGGCGTCCTCACTGCTGTCTTCAGCTACAAAAAGAACAGCACAAAATAAACACAATATTGAGGCACTTTGCTGCACCTGCCTCCAGAGAACTCTTTTTTTCTCCCTTAACTTTTCAGCACCGCATTTGCCTTCTGTCGCATGTTTTCTATAGGCCTACTTCAACCGTTTAATCATGTCTGATGCGGAATGTGCGATTGATTGATTAGTCACTGAAAATGCCTGGCTATGAGCCAACTCCAAAATGTGGGGGGGACATGTCCTCCTCATGTATTATGGCTCCTACGCGCATGTAACGTTAATTAGCCAGTCGCAGCTAGTGAACTGCTGATGCGAAGCGTCTTGCGCTGTGAGTCTCGGTAAATAACTGAAAGAGTTTTGCAAAATAAACATCTAATTATCTGAGGCAGACTTCCTCTGTTTGGGATTGTGAGCTGCACTTTAGCTGAGGTGCTGAAGTGAACATTTGTGTGGATTTGTGGTGAGACAGAAGTGTTTTCAGTAAGTTTAGTTTTTCCACCTCCTCTCATCCAGTAGTACAGTCCCAAATGGTTCTGTGCAGACACAGAAGGGGCCAAATCAGCAGAACAACAAAGCAGGATAATGCACACCAGAGTATAGGGGAGGTAGACTGTTTAGAAATATTATGAATTCTCATTAAATGATGGCTCTTGTAATATTACAACTTCTTTTCTCAACATGTCAGAGAACAAAGATAGCCTATGTGGGAGAAATTCTGAATGAGCAGAAAGTTTTGAACATGAGCAAAAAGCTGCAAAACACAGAAGCTATTAAAGTCCAGGGCGGGACCGGGAGCGCGTTTGATGGCGCTCATATAAAGATAAACTTTATATCATAATGTATTATCTGGAAAATTCTTTATTGTTAAATGTGTATTTAATATAAACTCCTCTTGGGAATTTCACCATTCAATGTGAATCTATCTGAGAATATTCTTAAAGAAGGAAATCTATTCAGTCATTGGTCCTTGGCGACATCGTCATCCAAAATCAGCAAGTGTCGTAAATCAGCACTAAGACTGACACTTAAGATTTAGTCCTACACTTCACTCAAATTAGGACTATGATGCTTGACAACTAACTTTTAAGCACAGCTTTGAGTCAAGAATTTTTTTACTCTTAAGTCAGTTCTTAGCAGTGTTCTTATGAGTAATTCTGAGAAGCTTGATAAATATGGGCCCAGGAGTTTCTAACTGAATTAAAATTGATTAATTTCTCATTGAGGAGAGAAAAGGTTCCTCAGTCATTTAAAGAGGTTACTTCTCCAAACAAGGGCAAAGACAAAAGAGGAGGAAAGACTAAATCATACATTTGTACTGACTCAGATGATATTACATGAGAAAATATTTGTGTATTCAAATATTTTCTCATGTTATATAACCTCTACAGCTATTAAAACTCTATATGCCCCACTTCCCCGTACCTCTTCCTCTTAGGAGCTCAACTGTTGGCAAACCATATTAAATCTACTGCTGTGAAAGGTATCTCTCTCAGCTGGCAGATGACACCACATTATTCTTAAAAAATGAAAACTAAATTTCTGTTGCAATTGATGTAATCAAGAAGTTTTCTAAGGCTTCTGGTTTGTATTTGAATGTACATCTAAACCAGTTCTTTGTAATATTGCAATAAACAATGAAATACTGTATTTAGGTATATTTATTACTAAGGACCAACAGAGGAGAATGGCCTTAAATTTAACCCTGTCATAAAAAACAGTCAAAAGAAATTTAACCAATGGCTTTGAAGGGATCTCTCGTTAAAAAGTAGAGTCTTAATTACTAAAGCAGAGGGACTCTTGCGATTATCACATGCTGCTTTAGCTCTGCATCTTAGCGGCAAACTAATAAAAGACACTGACAAAATGTTATTCACTTTTATATGGAAGAATAGAACCCATTACTTGAAGAAAACAGTTCTCATGAACTCCTATGAAAACGGTGGGCTTAATTATTTGGATTTTTATGCCTTGAATAATACCTTTAAGATAAATTGGCTGAAACAGTTATATAGAAGCCCTACCTCCATTTGTAATGTTTTACCCCTTTATGCATTATGAAAGCTGGGTGGCTTAAACTTGTTTCTAGTTTGTAACTTTGATATTGCTTAAAGCTTTTATTGTGACTGTTTCATTCTACTTCCTGTTCATTTCAGTCACACTTAACCTCCATCCAAAGAGAAAATTGAAAAATGGAAACCAAAAACTAACTGTTTAAACCCCCTTATAACAAGTTAGGATAATGGTTGAATGTGCATGGGACAAAAATGCTATGATGCTAAACGAGTGATTTGATCCTAAACATCCAAAGTCAACCTCTAAATGTTGTGCTACTCAGTTACATGATGAGGACATTGGACACAAAGGAGTTCAGAAAAATAAGGGACCATTTATGTTAAGAGATGTCTGTTTGCGTCTGTGTGTGTGTGAACTGAAAAGATGTTTTAACAATATAAGTTGTTTTTATAACAACAGCCATATTTATATGGTCAGTTCTCTTACTCATCAAATAAAAACTGAAGGTCCGACAACAAGGTCTTTTAACCAAGATGAATTCCGAATCGGACTGAACTCGTTTGTCTTGTGGTGACAGTTGGAGATAACGGATCGCATATCCTGTCGGATAGCCCTGCTACTCAAAAGTCAACTCAGACAGGTTTTCCTCGCCAGCAGGTGTTAAATCCGATATACCTTGAACGCTTCAAGAGAAACACATTCTGTTGTCGTCATTACGCACAGCGACGTAGAGTAGCATTTGTCCAATCAGGTGAAGAGCCTGGAGCTCAGGAAAGAAGCAGATGATATGGCAGCTTTGAGAGCGACCAGGTGGAACTTGCTTTGTTAACACGGCTAAACGTTTGATTATGAGAACGCTTTGACTCTGAAACGACAGCTGCTCGAAATGATTTATGTAATATTGATTTCCGCTTTCTCCGGAGCAGTCGTTACGTTGATATTACAGTTCTTGCTGATATACCGAAGAAGCCCCGAGCCCATAGGCAGGACAGTGCAGTATGTCAAAGTAGTGCCTGATAACGCGTTGAAGGATTACTTTAATACCCATCATGCCGAGCCAGGCCAGCAGCAGCAGGACAGCCCAGCATCTGCTTCATCCAAACAGCAAGAGGCCGTCTCAGCACGGCAGCCGGAAGCGGCTGTCATCAGCGGCAGCCCCAAACAACAGCCGCCACCGCCTTCCCAAAGCGAGCCCGCTGATGCGGCTAAACCTGAAACGTGCAATTTCTTAAATGCTATATTTTTGTTCCTTTTCAGGGAGCTCAGAGACACCCCTGCAGTTAGACACTGGCTCACCAAAAAGATCAAGGTGGAGTTTGAGGAGCTACTGCAAACCAAGACAGCTGGTCGGCTTCTGGAGGGACTCAGTCTCAGGGATTTCTCCCTAGGCAATTCTCTGCCGGTCTTTAAAACGGCCAAACTTATGAAGCCGGTGCATCTGAACGAGGACGGCATGCCCGACGAACTCAACTTCGAGGTGGACATAGAATACAATGGCGGCTTTCACCTCGCCATCGACGTCGAGCTGGTGTTTGGGAAGTCTGCCTACCTGTTCGTTAAGATGAGGCGCGTGGTGGGTAGGCTGAGGCTGCAGTTCACGCGCATGCCCTTCTCCCATTGGTCCTTCTCCTTCCTCGAGGACCCGCTGGTGGATTTTGAGGCGAAGTCACAGTTTGAAGGAAGGCCGCTGCCCCAACTCACCTCCATCATAGTCAACCAGCTGAAACGGGTCATCAAAAAGAAACACACCTTACCTAACTACAAAATCAGGTAGGCTCAAAAACGGTGGGCTGAACACCCAGACTAACTACTCACCAGTTCAGGACAGACTGGTATATCATAGCTCAAACATACATTTAAAGTAATAAATAAAACCTGAATGTGTACCAATTTAATAGTGAATACCATAGATTGTGGATAAGCAGTCAGTGGTGTATACTAATATTATATGCACAAAATTTAAAGGTTCAGTGTGTAAGATTTAGTGGCATCTAGCAGTGAGGTTGCGAACTGCAACCAACTGTCCAGTCTACCACTGCCCCCTACCCTTTCAAAGAGCATAGGACAGCTACGGTGGCTGACACAGCACAAAAGGTATCTGTTGTGAGACAGCAGAGAGTAGCCAGTCAAGAAATGAGGTTTCTTTAGGTAGATATATTTAGAAATTATATTTACTTAATTATTATGCTGTTACTGTGACTTGGCCACTGACAGATAACATGGAAAATGTAAACCAAGAGTGTGAGACACTGTCACTGTTTCTGCACCACAGTCCATTATAAACCACAGTTTAGATAAAGTTTATACAAACATTGAGAAGGGAAACACATTCATTCTCTCTGTGATTATGGACCCTCACCAAAACTTCCCACCGATAATAATATCTGGCTCGCTACCAGATTATGATGCTTTGATAGCAGCAAAAAATACAAATAAATAAATACTTTGATAGCGGTGCTGAAAGTCATGATAGTCATGACAGCAACAGTTACTCACGTAATCACTTCCTGTTTGGTGGTTTTGCCTACAAAATACAAACGTGAGAAGCTTGTTTACTGCAATGCTGTATTTGGAGTTGAACTGAGCTTTTACTGTAAAAATTTCTGAAGGACATTAAAAGAGTCTGTAGCCTGCTTGACACACCTCTGAAAGAGCCGTCAGAGAACGCGATTCCCTTAAATGTCCTCTGCCTTGAGATACTGGGGAAATACTGGGGAAAAAGCGTCTGTAGGTTGATTGATGCCGAACAAACAGTGCAGCACATATTTTGTTTTGAGCCAGAGAAACAGTCACTGCAGAATCAATATGTTGAAGAGAGAAAAAAAATTGTCCTAGTGTGGGATTGAACACAGAACCCTCTAGGCAAGAGTCCTGTGCTTTACTGACTGAGCTGATTGAGCAATATAACAATTACTTCATATATTATTTCTTATAGTCTCTCTCACCATCTAATAGTTCTTCTTTGAACGAATGTATTGATCATAGTGATGAGAGTCTACACTGCCTGAATTCTGTAAGAAGAAGAAGAAGAACGCGGTGATGAAACACGCTCTGTAGTGCAGTTTGTCCGTTTTCAGCTACTGTAGAAACATGTTGGCTCAACATGTAGATTATGTAGAAATTATATAGGTAGAAATGACTCATTCTAAGGTAATAAAAACATAACTGTTAATTATGGAAGGTCTTTATACACCACTGAAAACTATATTATATTGCATTTCTGTCACTAAATCCTCACACACTGGACCTTTAAATGTTAGCATGCAAAGAAAGAAACAAACCATTTGTGGCTAACAGGAGAAGATTTAATGGTCAGAATGGACTACCATATGACCCCAATTATGAAGTGCTCATTCTTCGATGTGTGTTAAATGATATCAAAATGGACTTCCAGAGCTATAAATGCGTAACTGTTTTTCTTTAAAACCATTCTACTGGTGGTCTGAAATTACAGTTAAGAAACGCATTTACACTTTTATTGCACAGGTAGTTTATCCAGAGAGAGCGGATGAAAACAAAATTCTTTTTCAAGCATTTTTGATTTTGTTCTTTATTTTCTGAGCTCTCACCAGAGTTGTAATGGAAAAGATGGAGCTATTCGCTGCAGGAGGAGGCAAAGCAGCAAATAGCTCCTCTTTATTTCCAATCCAGTCGTGTTATGGAACAATAGTGTCTTATCAACATTACTTTCAAAAGCAAGAGTTCTGTAGTCTACTCACAGGGACCTTTAAGTATACTTGATGTTCATTTTATTTTTCCACTGTGAATATTCTGCATACCTAAAATACAGTTAGAATTGGGCAGCCTATGTTCTTTTGTTCTTCAGTCGGGCCGACAGGCCCAGTGCAAAAACATTAGTATTTAAAAAAGAAAAAAAGAAACAACATCCTGCAGTTGTTTTGTAGCATTGTTGTCCAATCCAGAGTTGTAGTTACGTGACGAGAGATTGTCAAATGTTATTTCTCTAATCTCAATCATGCGGCAACCTCTGGGTCTGAAAGTGAATCCATGCAGACGGAACTTAAACCTGCATTCTTTCTAAAGCTGATGATACACAGAGCAACTTTTAGAGCAATGGTGCTGGGCAATGTTGCTGTCAATGGTAATGAGTAAAGATTACTACCGTAATCCCCTTCCCCCACCACTCCTCCACCCGCCACCACCAAACATAGTTAGACTTGCCACCAGCAAGATTCCTCAAAAAGTTGCCCCGTGTATCATCAGCTTAACAGGGGGCAGTCCGCTGGTTGCTAAAAAAGTCTGGCTCCATTAGAAATAAAATGTTGCTACTTCTCAGCTGATTTATTACCTCAGTAAACAAGTTTAAATGAGTTTATGGTCTCAGTCGCTAGTTTCAAGTCTTCAACACAGCATGATGTTCATTTAGTATATTATGGTCCCATTTAGGGGAAAATTTAATAATAATGCAGCGTTTGCTTTTGGGCGGGACTACCTTGTGATTGACAGGTCGCTACCATGGCAACCTGTCAATCAAGATAGAGGTGACTTGTATCCACTGCTCTGTGTATATTTTTCATTAATGGCTGTCAGCAGGAGAGCACATCATGTTTGAGTCTGTTAGTATGTTTTGTTTTAAAAGTAAATTGTTTTGTTAACCTTTTTATTTTTTATAATTCTAACTGTGATTACATTTTAGTTTAGTTTTTTATATCCAGGATGTATTTAATAAACGATTAAACATGTTAACATTATAACATAACTTATATATCTTTGGTTTTGCTGTAACACTGATAAATAACTTTTTGAAGGAGGGACAGTAAAAATTGTCTTTGGGCCAGTAAGTTTCAAACCCACTGGCCTGGAGGGGCCAGTTGCAAAAAAGTTTAACGTTGAGCCCTGAAGCTACTTATGTGGACCTGTAGTTTAGATTTTGTTTGTCATATACTGTGTTTATAGCTTTAAGTTGCCCTAAAACACAGTCATATTGGGATGTTGACCTTTTTATGACCACCTGATTTGAAAAAATGCTATGGAACACAAATACCTGTCTTTACAACCACTTTGACAGATATGAAAAACATGTCAAGCCACATTTTGGTAGTTTATGAAATAAATCACGTTTCTAAGTACAACTCAGCTAGTTTTAGAACATATTTTAGAGAAAGTACTTAGTTGTGCTGGCACATCTATGTTTTTGCGGAACCAAACTCTCCACCATTATCTAAAATAGCATCTCTCACTTCATGAGTCAGAAGATTTTAGATCCTTCCCTCCCACTTTCAGCTGCTACTCATTTTTCTGGTCATCACTTTTGGTTACAGTGTGTCGTTGATCATAAATTGTGCTGCATGCTTCTGTTCAGACTTGAAAATCCACAGGGGTTTCAGAAACTGCTTAATAATAATGGGTTGACAGTGTGTAGAAAAATACATTATTAGGTTGGTGAACCTTGAGCCATCAGTGATACCATCCACCACAACGCATATGATCCTCCAAAAGACCATGTGATCATAAACCTCCACTTCAGTAGTGAATGCCTTTCCAGTCCTCCATGCATTCACTGAGAGAGGTTGCATGACTTAGATATACTGGAGTCCGCTTAAAAACCAGTGTGTCGGTGAGCCTCTTAGATGCCTCGTTGAGTAGTTCATACATAACGATTGAGGGCTGATTGGCAAGCACTGATTTTTATCAGCGCTGATCGCTTGCTGATTTGTCTCTGATCAAGGGTGTTTGTGGGCGAGCTCGGTGACTTGCAAATCTGGCTTATAATAAAATCTGAACTACACTTTAACCAACTGTAGCTTAATAGGATGTTTGCATACCGGCTGCCATTTACCTTACTGCCTAAAAAATAATGGAGTCACACTCACCTTCCACAAGGGCATTTTTGGTAGCCAGTTCAAGATTGGCATGTGACTTCTGAATTTTCTCCCAGTTAGGAATATCCAATTCCCCTCCACTGAGGACAATAGAGTTTCAGCTCTATAATGCTGTATTTCTGCTGGTGAATGCTGTTAGTGTAATTTGGTCTCCACAGACCACAGAGCCTACTTCCACTTAGTTTCAGTGTCTCGCATGTGCTTCTAGCAAACACTAGTCCAGATATCATGTGAGACTTTTTCAGAAGTCTGCTGTATGATTGATCTTGGAAATGAACAGCTATCCTTCCCCTGATTTGTATTTTGTTATAGCCTTGTCTCATATTTGTATCATTGTCTTGTACCTTCCACACACATGCATATTTAAAACACTGGTGATTGCCAGTTAACTGTCTGTGGGACTCCAGCGATGTTTAGGTGTGTCATTGAAAAAGGTTCAATACAATCAAAATGCTCAGAATTATTTTCTTGTTTTACATTTGTACTGAATGTACCTAAATTTATAGACCATTGTGTAATTTTGACTGATGTTGTTGGTCAGAGTTAAAAAGCCTACTTACATTCACTCAATTTAAAGATGTAGCAATAATAAAAACTTGGAAAATGTCCAAAGGGGGCAAATCCTTTTAATAGGCTTTGAACCTTGTTGAAAGTAGAGATAAGAAATGAGTTTAAAGAAGTGAGAGAAACAGAAAGAGTGAGAAAAAGGGAAGTAGGAAGTGCGAATTAGAGGGAAAGCTAAACGGAAACTTGTGTTAAAAGATCCTTATTTCAGTTGGGTTGTTTTACAATTGGAAAGAAATAGTAACAGACGAAGCTCAATGGACATGCAATACTGGTGACAGACATTGCTGAAATTCCACCAGCCAGAGTGACACACATTTGAGGCATCTTGTAATTCTGCATGTCTGTTATGGACAGGACTCA